ACTTTAAATGCAACAACATTCAAATTACAGGGGTCACAGAAGAAGAGAAAAAGAAAGGGACTGAGAAAATATATGAAAAGATTATAGTTGAAAACTTCCCTAATATGGGAAAGGAAATAGTCAGTCAAGTCCCGGAAGCACAGAGAGTCCCATACAGGATAAATCCAAGGAGCAACATGCCAAACAACATATTAGTCAAACTGTCAAAAATTAAATACAAAGAAAAAACATTAAAAGGGAAAAACAGCAAATAACATACAAGGGAATCCCCATAAGGTTAACAGCTGACCTTTCAGCAGAAACTCTGTAAGCCAGAAGGGAGTGGCAGGACATATTTAAAATGATGAAATGGAAAGACCTACAACCAAGATTACTCTACCCACCAAGGATCTCATTCAGATTCGACAAAAAAATTAAAACCTTTAAAGACAAGCAAAAGCTAAGAGAATTCAACACCACCAAACCAGTTTACAACAAATGCTAAAGGAACTTCTCTAGGCAGGAAACACAAGAGAAAGAAAAGGCCTACAATAACAAACCCAAAGCAATTAAGAAAATGGTAATAGGAACATACATACCAACAGCTACCTTAAATGTAAATGGATTAAATTATCCAACCAAAAGGCATAGACTGGCTGAATGGATACAAAAACAAGAGCCATATATATACTGTCTACAAGAGAGCCACTTCAGACCTAGGGACACACACATACTGAAAGTGAGGGGATGGAAAAAGATATTCCATGCAAATGCAAATCAAAAGAAAGCTGGTATAGCAATTCTCATGTCAGACAAAATAGGCTTTAAAATAAATACTATTACAAGAGACTAAGAAGAACACTACATAATTATCAAGGGATCAATCCAAGAGGAAGATATAACAACTGTAAATATTGATGAACCCAACATAGGAGCACATCAATACGTAAGGCAAATGCTAACAGCCATAAAAGGGGAAATCAACAGTAATGCAATCATAGTAGGGGACTGTAACACCACACTTACATCAATGGACAGATCATCCAAAATGAAAACAAATAAGGAAACACAAACTTTAAATGATACATTAAACAAGATGGACTTAATTGATATTTATAGGACATTCCATCCAACAACAACAGAATAAACTTTCTTCTCATGTGCTCATGGAACCGTCTGCAGGATAGAGCATATCTTGGGTCACAAATCAAGCATTGGTACATTTACAAAAATTGAAATTGTATCAAATATCTTTTCTGACCATAATGCTATGAGACTAGATATCAATTACAGGAAAAAAGTTTGTTAATACATGGAGGCTAAACAATACACTACTAAATAACCAAGAGATCAGTGAAGAAATCAAAGAGGAAATCAAAAAATACCTAGAAACAAATGACAATGAAAACATGACAACCCAAAACCTATGGGATGCAGCAAAAGAAGTTCTAAAAGGGGAGTTTATAGCCATACAATCCTACCTCAAGAAACAAGAAACATCTCAAATAAACAAGCTACCCTTATACCTAAAGCAATCAGAGAAAGAAGAACAAAAACCCCCAAAGTTAGCAGAAGGAAAGAAATCATAAAGATCAGATCAGAAATAAATGAAAAAGAAATGAAGGAAACAGTAGCAAAGATCAATAAAACCCAAAGCTGGTTCTTTGAGAAGATAAGCAAAATTGATAAACCATTAGCCAGAGTCATCAAGGGAAAACGGGAAAAGATGCAAAGCAATAGAATTAGAAATGAAAACGGAGAAGTAACAACTGACACTGTGGAAATACAAAGGATTATGAGAGACTACTACAAGCAACTATATGCCAATAAAATGGACAGCCTGGAAGAAATGGACAATTTCTTAGAAAAGCACAACCTTCTAGGACTGAACCTGGAAGAAATAGAAAATATAAACACATATCACAAGCACTGAAATGGAGACTGTGATTTAAAATCTTCCGAAAAACAAAAGCCCAGGACCAGATGGCTTCACAGGCAGAATCTATTCAAACATTTAGAGAAGAGCTAATACGTATCCTTCTCAAACTCTTCCAAAGTATAACAGAGAGAGGAACACTCCCAAGCTATGAGACCAGCATCACCCTGATATTGAAACCAGAGAAAGATGTCACAAGGAAAGAAAACTACAGGCCAATATCACTGATGAACATAGATGCAAAAATCCACAACAAAATACTAGCAAACAGAATCTAACAGCATATTAAAAGGATCATACACCATAATCAAGTGGGGTTTATCCCAGGCATGGAAAGATTCTTCAATATACGCAAATCAATCAGTGTGACAAACCATATTAAAAAACTGAAGGAGAAAAACCATGTGATTATCTTAATAGATGCAGGAAACGATTTCAACAAACTTCAACACCCATTTATGATAAAAATTCTCCAGAAAGTAGGCATAGAGGTAACTTATCTCAACCTAATAAAGGCTGTATATGACAAACCCACAGCCAACTTCATTCTCAATGGTGAAAACTGAAACCATTTCCATTAAGATGAGGAAGAAGACAAGGTTTTCCACTCTCACCACTATTATTCAACATAGCTTTGGAAGTCTTACCCACAGCAGTTAGAGAAGAAAAAGAAATAAAAGGAATCCAAATCGGAAAAGAAGAAGTAAAGCTGTCACTCCTTGCAGATGACATGATACTATATAGAGAGAATCCTAAAGATGCTACCAGAAAACTACTAGAGTTAATCAATGAATTTGGTAATGTAGCAGGATACAAAATTAATGCACAGAAATCTCTTGCATTCCTTTACACTAATGATGAAAAATCTGAAAGAGAAGTTAAGGAAACAATCCCATATATCATTGCAATGAAAATTAAAAAATAGCTAGGAATGAACCTACCTAAGGAGACAAAAGACCTGTATGCAGAAAAATATAAGACACTGATGAAAGAAATTAAAGATGATACCAACAGATGGAGAGATATACCATGTTCTTGGATTGGAAGAATCAACATTGTGAAAATGACTATACTACCCAAAGCAATCTACAGATTCAGTGCAATCTCTATCAAAGTACCAATGGCATTTTTCACAAAACTAGAACAAAAAATTTCACAATTTATGTGGAAACACAAAAACTCCACATAGTCAAAGCAATCTTGAGAACGAAAAACATACCTGGAGGAATCAGGCTCCCTGACTTCAGACAATACTACAAAGCTACAGTAAACAAGACAGTATGGTGCTGGCAGTAAAACAGCTATATAGATCAGTAGAACAGGATAGAAAGCCCAGAGATTAACCCACGCACCTATGGTCACCTTATTTTTGATAAAGGATTCAAGAATATACAGTGGAGAAAAGACAGCCTCTTCAGTAATTGGTGCTTAGAAAACTGGACAGCTACATGTAACAGAATGAAATTAGAACACTCCCTAACACCATACAGAAAAATAAACTCAAAATGTATTAAAGACCTAAATGTAAGGCCAGACAGTATAAAACTCTTAGAGCAAAGCATAGGCGGAACACTTTATGACATAAATCACAGAAAGAACCTTTTTGACCCACCTGCTAGAGAAACGGAAATAAAAACAAAAATAAACAAATGGGACCTAATGAAACTTAAAAGATTTGCACAACAAAGGAAACCAGAAACAAGATGAAAAGACAACCCTCAGAATGGGAGAAGATATTTGCAAATGAAGCAACTGACAATGGATTAACCTCCAAAATTTATAGGCAGCTCATGCAACTCAATATCAAAAAAAAAAAAAATCCAAAAATGGGCAGAAGTCCTAAATAGACATTTCTCAAAAGAAGATGTACAGATTGCCAACAAACCCATGAATGAATGCTCAACATCACTAATCATTAGAGAAATGCGAATCAAAACAACAATAAATAGTAGTATAAATAAATGTCAACACATTATTGGCCCAAATTATTAATTTGCAAACTGTTTTAAAGACACTCATTGATGGCTGAATTGGAGGGTAAGAAGAGCTAAGGTAAGTGAGATTTTGGTAGGGGTTGGTAAAGGGCATTGAAGCCAGGGATGAGGATCTTCCTGGAGTATGCCTAAATGACTTCATTGCAAGCTGTGTTAGAGGAGACAAAATGGAGTTAGGACCAGAAGTGATAAGTCATTCACCATAAATACTCCTCATTAGGGGCCCAACAAGTGTTATAATAATCACATTTAGCTTTTGGATGAAAGCAATTGACCATAATTCATTCTCACCAGAACATTTTCACATGCTAATGATTTCTAATGAGGACAGTGGCCATTAGTTAAAAATCTACACCAGTAGTTTTAGAACGGAACACTGTGTTTGGTTTCTTTTGCCCTGACTTACAATGTGTCCTGAGTCTGATTGTGTTATCTCGGTGCTCTCTTATCAGACCAAGAATCTCTTTCATTGATTCTTCCTTCATCAGTGGCTAGCTGTATTAATTCATCCATTTATTCACAAATGTGTCCTAAATACTTACCCTGTTAAAAACACCATGCCTGGCCACTTGTGAACTTGCTGGCTAAGCTCATCCAAACTCTCTCTCCTAGCCAGCTACCTTAGATGGCTAAGACACCCACTTTAAAGAATGGTTTGGTTTTGTCAATTCCTGTTCCCTTTTGGGAAGTTTTCCTACCTGACCTTTTGGATTGGTCCTATAAGAAATAGAACATTAGAGTTGTGAATCAATCCAGCTAAACCAGTAACTCACTACTAAAGCAAGTGAAAATGTTTGTGTTTAACCAGATTCTGATAAAGGGTCCTATGACTTTTGGGGGTCCTTGTCATAAAAGGCTCTATGCTCTGGAGTCTGCAGTCTGAAGACCTTTGCTTGAGATCCATCTTTCCTAATTATTCACTGGTGGAGTGACTTCCTTCTTTAAACCCCAATCTTCTTGTATGAAAAGTGTAAATGGTTATTCCCTGTCTACTTCATGATACTGAAATAAGGCTCCCAAATGCTCAGGAAGTGGTAAAGCCCCCAGGGAGTGAAGGGCATCCTCAACCTGGGCTTTTGCTTTGTCTGCAGGGCTACCTGAAGCAATGCCGGAAGAGAAGGGACATGTTCAGTGATGAGCAACTGAAGGTGATCTTTGGGAACATTGAAGACATCTACAGGTTTCAGATGGGCTTCGTAAGAGACCTGGAGAAACAGTACAACAATGATGACCCCCACCTCAGCGAGATAGGACCCTGCTTCCTGGAGCACGTAAGCATCTTCCCCTTTGGGGAGGGTTTTGAGAGATGTTTGGAAGCCATGGAAGGAGTCTCTGAGCTATTTGGTTCTGCTCAGTTGCTTTGCCCCATGGTAGGGGATGGATTCCTCTCTGACCCTGATGTTCATCCCCTTGCTAGAGTATGAGGACTTAGGAAGGTACTGTGATTTGTCCAAGGACTCTTCTTCTTTACTGTTCTCCATGCCTTTTTTTTCTCCTTCCAGATAATTATCAGTAGGATTTTTCTTCAACTTTCTTCTCTGCTCCTATGGGGCTCAGTTTCCATGGGAGCCAGTGCTTTGGGAGGGACTCTGAACATATTCATATATTCCAGGAATCTGAGAAAGGAGAGACCATGGTCAGCATGAAACTAGACCCCTGCAAGGCATTTAAGGGAGAACACTAGGGTAGGGGAAGTGACAAGTGTAGGAAAAGGGGCTACATGATTTAGAGGAAGGAACACTAGGAAACAGGGAAGTGAGGATGTGAGTCCTGTCTATAATGATTGTCTGGGTAACTTTGGGTAAGTTCCTTACCGTCTTTGGGCTTCCTCACATGGATTTAAGAAGGTTTCACTTTATACCTCTGTGGTTCTCTAATATCTTTTGTGTCTTATTCACAGGTGACCTAGTTGTTTTGACAACTCTTCTCCCCCGTTTTATAAAGTATTTATTTTTAAAGAGATAATACATGCACATGGTATAAAATTCAAATGACACATGAAAGTGTGCAACTAAGAGTAAGTTTTCTTGCAAATTCTCCTGCTTTTACTATGGGAATGTGTAGTGGGGGGATAACCCTAAGGCCACCCATATGTTCAGTGATTTGCTACAAGTCCCGGGACTCAGCATATAGTCATACTCATGGTTGTGATTTAATACAACTAAAGGATACAAAGCAAAATCAGCAAAAGGAAAAGGCACATGGGGCAAAGTGTGAAGGAAACCAAGTGTAAGTTTCCAAGAGTCCTCTCCCAGTGGAGTCATACAGGATGCACTTAATTCCCCTTGCAATGAGTTGTGACAACACTTTTGAAATGTTGTCCACCAGGGAAAATTATTAGGGACTCAGTGCCCAAGATTTCTATGGGTGGCTGGTCATGTAGGCACCCTCTGCCTAGCATGTACCAAAATTCCAGACTCCCAGAAGGAAAGCAAGTATTCTGCATAAACCACATTGTTCATACAAATAGTTTAGGCACAGTGAGCCACTCTCGTCAGGGAATGGTGAAAAATCTCTTGAGATCCAAGTTCCAAGATGCCAGCCAAGGGCCAACCTTTCAAGCAGGCCTTTTTAGGGATAGCAGTCTCAGGCCTGATATGTTAACTCTTTTTTGCACAGTATTAAACTGGTTCAGCCATTCCAGAAAGCACCTGGGTAGTATTTATCAAAGTTAAGCATGTGTATGATCTTGGGTTCCATTCATGAATATATATCACAGAGAAATTCTCATAGAGGTCCACGAGGGAACATTTACAAGGCTGTTGATTGCATGGCAGTGTTGTGTGTGGTGGAGTGCAGTTAGAAACAACTTAGGTATTTATCACCAGGGTATGGATGAGAAACATAATGGGGGATGCTTACTGTAAGGTATTATATAGCAAGGAACAAGAGACTAGTTGTATGTACCCAATAGCAATGTGTGTAAATATAAATATAGTCTTGAGCTGGGAAAGTAGAATATGGAATAGTGATTCTCAATTGGAGTCTACCCTGTGCATTGTAGGGTGTTTAACAGCATTCCTGGTCTCTATCTACTGGAGGCCAGTAGCAACCTCCTAGTTGTGACAACCCAAAATGTCTCCAGACATTGTCAACTTTACCGAGGGACAAAAAAGAACCACTAATCTATTAAAATGATCATATACTTTTACACTGTAATCTGTTAATGTGGTGAATTTGGTTTGAATAATTTTCATATGTTAAATGAACATTGTATTGTTGGGATAAACCCCACCTAATCATGGTGTATTATCCTTCTTTATGTATTAGTTTGCTTTTTAAAAAATATTAGATTGTTTACCCTCTTTTAATTCAGTTCTAGGATTTATTTTTTTTTTAGGATTTCATTCTTTATCATCTTGGTTTAGGTATAATTTACAAACAATAAAACTCACCAAATGTCTACTTCGATGGGTTTTGACAGGTGCATATAGTTGTGTAACTACCACCGTAATCAAGATATGGAACATCTCTATCACTTCATCAAGTTCTAATGTTCTCCCCTTGTTGTCAGTCTTTGCTCTCACCCTTGCCCTTGGCAAACACTGATCTGCATTCTGTCACCATAATTTTGTTTTTTTAGAATGTCATATAAATGGAATAATGCAATAGTGATATTTTGTTTAGCTTCTTTCACTTAATTTCTTTGATATCCATCCATATTTTTGCATGTATTAGTAGTTGGTTATTTTTCTTTTTATTGCTTAGCGATAATTCCATTGTGTGGATATACCACTCATTCACCAGTTCATTCCAGGACATCTGGGTTGTTTACTAGGTTGTTTCCATCTGTGGGATTACTGGGTTGCATTGTAGGTATTTGTTTAATTTTATAAGATACTGCCAAACTGTTTTCCAAAGTTACTGTATCATTTTGCATTCTCACTTCTAATATATAAGGGTTGCAGTTGTTCCACATGGTTGTCAGCACTTGGTATTATCAGTATTTTTAATTTTAGGCATTCTAATAGGTGCATAGTGGCATTTCATTGTGGGTTTAGTTTGCATTTCCCTAATGGCTAATGGTATTGAGCATTTTTTTCATGTGCTTATTTGCCATCTGCATAAAACCTTTGGTGAAGTGTCCTTGTCTTTTGCCCATGTGGGTTGTCTGTTTTCTTACTATTTAGTTCCAAGCGTTATTTCTGTATTCTGTTTGCAAGTCCTTGGTCATATATGTGATTTTCAAAGGTTTTCTCAGTCGTGGCTTAGTCTTTCATTTTTTCTTAACATTGTCTTTGAAAAGCATAAACTTTTAATTTTGTTGAAATTCAATTTATTACTTTTTCATGATTCATGTTTTTTTGTTTCTTATTTAAGAAATCTTTGCCTAACCCAAAGTCACAAAGCTTTTCTACTGTTTTCTTATAGAAATTATGTAGTTTTATTTCTTATATTTAGGCTATGATCATTTTTGAGGTACTTTTTATATATGGTGCAAAATAAGGTTCAAGGTTAATTTGCTTCCATGTGGATATTCAGTCATTCCAGCACCTTTGTTGAAAACACTATTAATTTCTCCATTGAATTACCTGGGCATCTTTGTCAAAAATCAATTGATCATATATGTGTAGTTCTATTCTTAGGAACACTATTCTGTTCCAGTGATCTATGTGACTATTTATATAGTAATACCACACTGTGTTTTCTTCTTGTTTTAATTGAGATATAATTGTCATATAGCATTATATCAGTTTCAGGTGTACAACATAATAATTTAATATTTATATATATTGTGAAATGATCACCACAGTAAGTCCAGTTAACCTCTATTACCATACATAGTTACAATTTTTTTGTCTCACTGTCTTGAATAATGTAGCTTCATAGCAAGTCTTGAAAGCAGGTAAAGTCCTTCAAATTCATACTTTTTCAAAACAATTTTGGCTATTTTAGGTGATTTCTATTTCTATATAAATTTATCTTATCACAAGGAGAATTTTGTTCTCTTCTTTTTATTTTATCTATATGAGATGATGGAAGTTAAATAAACATTGTGGTAATCATTTCACAATATATGTAAAGCAAGCCATCTTGCTGTACACCTTAAACTTATACAGTGATGTTTGTGAATTATTTCTGGATAAAACTGGGGGGGTGGTGGGAAGAATCAGCTTGCTTAGTTCTACCAAAAAGCAAGGATAACAACAACAAAAAAGAATTCTTCCAGCATTTTGATTAGGATTACATTAAATCTCCCAGCATTGTTTCTAGTTTTCACTTGTATAGGTCTTGATCTTATTTTTTAAAATTGATTTCTAAGTAATTAATTTTTTGCTGCTTTATAAATTGTATTTTTATTTCAATTTCCTATAGTTTGTTGCTATGATATAGAAATGCAACTCATTTTTTTTTTACAGCTGTCCCTCAGTATCTGCAGGAGATGTGTTCCAGGACACCCTGCAGATACCAAAATCCACAGATGCTCAAGACCCTTATATAAAATGGTATAATATTTGCATATAACCTATGCACATACTCCCATATACTTTAAATCATCTCTAGATTACTTATTATACTTAATACAATGTAAATACTATGTAAATGGTTGTAAATAAAATGTAAATGCTATATAAATTTTTACTGGCATGCAAAACAAAGTTTTGCTTTTTGGAACTTTCTAGATTTATTTTCTGAATATTTTCCATCTGCAGTGGTTGAATCCACAGATGCAGAACCTGCCAATATGGAGGGCCAACTGTATTGACTTTGAATCCTGGCACATTATTGAATTCAATAATTGGGTCTATTTTTTTTTTTTTAGATTCCTTAGGATTGTATACATATACAATCACGTCATTTCTAAATAAAGGCAGTTTTATTTATTCTTTTTCAATCTGTATGACTCCTATTTCCTTTGCTTCTCTTATTGGACTAGCCAAGACCTTCACTACAGTGTTAACTAGAAGTGGTAAGAGCAGGCATCTTTTGTTTTGTACCTGATTTTTAGGGACAAAAATTCAGCATTTACTATTAAGAATGATATTAACTTTAAGTTTTTCACGATCACCCTTTATCACATTGGGGAAGTTTCTTTCTAATCCTGGTTTGCTGATGGCTTTTATCATAAATGTATTTTATCAAATGCTTATTGAAATTATTGAAATAATCATATGTTTTTTCTCCTTTAATCTGTTAACATGGTGAATTGGATTGGGATAAGTCCCTCCTAATCATGGTGTATCATCCTTTTACTGTACTATTTTGCCTGATTTTTAAAATTAGGTTACTTGTCTTTTTATTATTAAGTTCTAGTATTTTTTTATACATT